TGAGTCAGGACCAGAGAGAGACCAGAGAGAGACCAGCACCATGAGTCAGGACCAGAGAGAGACCAGAGAGAGACCAGCACCATGAGTCAGGAATCAGAGAGAGACCAGAGAGAGACCAGCACCATGAGTCAGGACCAGAGAGAGACCAGAGAGAGACCAGCACCTTGAGTCAGGACCAGAGAGAGACCAGAGAGAGACCAGCACCTTGAGTCAGGACCAGAGAGAGACCAGAGAGAGACCAGAGAGAGACCAGCACCATGAGTCAGGACCAGAGAGAGACCAGCACCGTGGGTCAGGACCAGAGAGAGACCAGCACCATGAGTCAGGACCAGAGAGAGACCAGAGAGAGGACCAGAGAGAGACCAGCACCATGAGTCAGGACCAGAGAGAGACCAGCACCATGAGTCAGGACCAGAGAGAGACCAGCACCATGAGTCAGGACCAGAGAGAGACCAGAGAGACCAGCACCATGAGTCAGGACCAGAGAGACCAGCGAGAGACCAGCACCATGAGTCAGGACCAGAGAGAGACCAGCACCATGAGTCAGGACCAGAGAGAGACCAGAGAGAGACCAGCACCATGAGTCAGGAATCAGAGAGAGACCAGAGAGAGACCAGAGAGAGACCAGCACCTTGAGTCAGGACCAGAGAGAGACCAGAGATAGACCAGGCACCTTGAGTCAGGACCAGAGAGAGACCAGAGAGAGACCAGCACCTTGAGTCAGGACCAGAGAGAGACCAGAGAGAGACCAGAGAGAGACCAGCACCATGAGTCAGAACCAGAGAGAGACCAGCACCATGAGTCAGAACCAGAGAGAGACCAGAGAGAGACCAGCACCATGAGTCAGAACCAGAGAGAGACCAGAGAGAGACAGCACCTTGAGTCAGGACCAGAGAGAGACCAGCACCATGAGTCAGGACCAGAGAGAGACCAGCACCATGAGTCAGGACCAGAGAGAGACCAGAGAGAGACCAGCACCATGAGTCAGGACCAGAGAGAGACCAGAGAGAGACCAGAGAGAGACCAGAGAGAGACCAGCCCCGTGAGTCAGGAATCAGAAAAACCCAAGCATCGTCAGGTTTCTTCTGCTTTATCCATTGCCGGGCCACAGGGGCAGCAGTGTGATTGACACACACTCATCTGGCAGACTAGAGAGAGACCAGAGAGAGACTAAAGAGAGACGATAGAGAACGAGAGAGACCAGAGAGAGACTAATGAGAGACGATAGAGAGACGATAGAGAACGAGAGAGACCAGAGAGAGACCAGAGAGAGACTAAAGAGAGACAATAGAGAACGAGAGAGACCAGAGAGAGACTAGAGAGAGACCAGAGAGAGACCAGAGAGAGACAATAGAGAACGAGAGAGACCAGAGAGAGACCAGAGAGAGACTAAAGAGAGACAATAGAGAACGAGAGAGACCAGAGAGAGACCAGAGAGAGACTAAAGAGAGACAATAGAGAACGAGAGAGACCAGAGAGAGACCAGAGAGAGACCAGAGAGAGACCAGAGAGAGACTAAAGAGAGACGATAGAGAACGAGAGAGACCAGAGAGACTAGAGAGAGACCAGACAGAGACAGAGAGAGACTAGAGAGAAACTAGAGAGAGACCCGAGAGGGACCAGAGAGAGAGACCAGAGAGAGAGACCAGAGAGAGAGTAGGATAGAGTAGAGTCACAAAGTCAGACGTAAAAAGTAGAAAAGCGTTTTATTGGAAGTAGATTTTGTGCAGAGACATCGACAGAACACACTCAGACCAGGTCCAGGTCTACAGTAGTCCAGAGTTCAGGTCTGGCGCAGTCCAGGGTTCAGGTCCACAGTAGTCCAGAGTTCAGGTCTGGCGCAGTCCAGGGTTCAGGTCCACAGTAGTCCAGAGTTCAGGTCCACAGTAGTCCAGAGTTCAGGTCCACAGTAGTCCAGGGTTCAGGTCCACAGTAGTCCAGGGTTCAGGTCCACAGTAGTCCAGGGTCCAGGTCCACAGTAGTCCAGGGTTCAGGTCCACAGTAGTCCAGGGTTCAGGTCTGGTCTGGTCTGGTTCATGCAGGACTGCACTGGCTCCAGTTTGAGCTCATGCAACATTTGGACAAAGACGAACGACATTTAAACAGACAAAAAGTGCTTAAGGGGGAAACCCAGTCGCCATGGAGACTCAGAACATAGACCAGACCGGGACTGAGCCAGGACTAAACCAGGACTGAGCCAGGACTGAGCCGGGACTGTGCCAGGATACAGTACCAGATAATAAATAGTAATGGCAACACAAGAGGGTAGAGTAGAGTAGAGTAGAGTAGAGTAGAGTAGAGTAGGGTAGGGTAGGGTAGGGTAGAGTAGAGTAGAGTAGAGTAGGGTAGGGTAGGGTAGAGTAGAGTAGAGTAGAGTAGAGTAGAGTAGTGTAGAGTAGAGTAGAGTAGAGTAGAGTAGGGTAGCGTAGAGTAGAGTAGGGTAGGGTAGAGTAGAGTAGGGTAGAGTTAAGTAGAGTAGAGTAGGGTAGGGTAGAGTAGAGTAGAGTAGAGTAGGGTAGAGTAGAGTAGAGTAGAGTAGGGTAGAGTAGAGCTAGGGTAGAGATTAGGGTAGGGTAGAGTAGGGTAGGGTAGGGTAGAGTAGAGTAGGGTAGAGTAGAGTAGTGTAGAGTAGAGTAGAGTAGAGTAGAGTAGGGTAGGGTAGAGTAGAGTAGGGTAGAGTAGGGTAGAGTAGAGTAGAGTAGGGTAGAGTAGAGTAGAGTAGGGTAGGGTAGAGTAGAGTAGAGTAGAGTAGAGTAGAGTAGAGTAGAGTAGAGTAGGGTAGAGTAGAGTAGGGTAGAGTAGGGTAGAGTAGAGTAGAGTAGAGTAGAGTAGAGTAGGGTAGAGTAGAGTAGGGTAGAGTAGAGTAGAGTAGGGTAGGGTAGGGTAGAGTAGAGTAGGGTAGAGTAGAGTAGGGTAGAGTAGAGTAGGGTAGGGTAGAGTAGAGTAGAGTAGGGTAGGGTAGGGTAGGGTAGGGTAGGGTAGGGTAGAGTAGAGTAGAGTAGAGTAGGGTAGGGTAGAGTAGAGTAGAGTAGGGTAGAGTAGAGTAGAGTAGAGTAGAGTACGGTAGAGTAGAGTAGGGTAGAGTAGAGTAGAGTAGGGTAGGGTAGAGTAGAGTAGAGTAGAGTAGGGTAGAGTAGAGTAGAGTAGAGTAGAGTAGAGTAGAGTACGGTAGAGTAGAGTAGGGTAGAGTAGAGTAGAGTAGGGTAGGGTAGAGTAGAGTAGAGTAGAGTAGAGTAGAGTAGAGTAGAGTAGAGTAGAGTAGAGTAGAGTACGGTAGAGTAGAGTAGGGTAGAGTAGAGTAGAGTAGGGTAGGGTAGAGTAGGGTACAGTAGAGTAGGGTAGGGTAGAGTAGGGTAGGGTTGGTGGAAATGGGGCTGTTGTACATGTTTTGTTTACTTTAAATAAACTACAGAAAATAATACTTTTTGTTGATCATTATGAGACCGGCTCAGACTCTGCTGGACCCAGTGGGAAACCCTGGCTCGTCCTGGTCCGTCCTGGCTCGTCCTGGTCCTTCCTGGCTCGTCCTGGTCCGTCCCGGCTCACCCCCCTCTCCCTTTGGTGACTGGGTTCCGTCGTTTCCATGGTAATAATTGCATATATATATAGAATACAATACGTCTGTAGTATTGGACACACACAGTGCTCAGACCGACTCCTCTCTCTTGCACAGTTATTCCAATGTGGTTTTACTGCAAATGGAGTCTGAGCGTAACGTTTGGTCCTCGTCTCCTCAGACCTCACAGTGATGGGGTCCTCCAAGCACACATCTGTCAACATTCAGAAATATCTGCTCCGTCTGTGGGTTTGACTCTGCTCCCAAACTGGTCTGACAGCTCTGGTCCCAGGTCCCAGAGAGACCAGAGAGAGACCAGAGAGAGACCAGAGAGAGACCAGAGAGAGACCAGAGAGAGACCAGAGAGAGACCAGAGAGAGACACCAGAGAGAGACCAGAGAGAGAGACCAGAGAGAGACCAGAGAGAGACCAGAGAGAGAGACCAGAGAGAGAGACCAGAGAGAGAGACCAGAGAGAGAGACCAGAGAGAGACCAGAGAGAGACCAGAGAGAGACCAGAGAGAGACCAGAGAGAGACCAGAGAGAGAGACCAGAGAGAGAGACCAGAGAGAGACCAGAGAGAAAGACCAGAGAGAGAGACCAGAGAGAGACCAGAGAGAGACCAGAGAGAGAGACCAGAGAGAGAGACCAGAGAGAGAGACCAGAGAGAGACCAGAGAGAGAGACCAGAGAGAGACCAGAGAGAGACCAGAGAGAGACCAGAGAGAGAGACCAGAGAGAGACCAGAGAGAGACCAGAGAGAGAGACCAGAGAGAGACCAGAGAGAGAGACCAGAGAGAGACCAGAGAGAGAGACCAGAGAGAGACCAGAGAGAGAGACCAGAGAGAGAGACCAGAGAGAGACCAGAGAGAGAGACCAGAGAGAGACCAGAGAGAGACCAGAGAGAGAGACCAGAGAGAGAGGCCAGAGAGAGACCAGAGAGAGAGACCAGAGAGAGACCAGAGAGAGACCAGAGAGAGACCAGAGAGAGAGACCAGAGAGAGACCAGAGAGACCAGAGAGAGACCAGAGAGAGACCAGAGAGAGAGACCAGAGAGAGACCAGAGAGAGAGACCAGAGAGAGAGACCAGAGAGAGACCAGAGAGAGACCAGAGAGAGAGACCAGAGAGAGACCAGAGAGAGACCAGAGAGAGAGACCAGAGAGAGAGACCAGAGAGAGACCAGAGAGACCAGAGAGAGACCAGAGAGAGACCAGAGGCTGAAACCAGCGATAAAACCCATCGCAGAGACTTCCTGTGTTCAACAAACGGCCAATCACAGAATGGACGAGACCAAAGTCACGTGTAACAGTTCAGTCACGACGGAGACTGCGATCTGCTTCAGGACCTTCGTAAAACCTTCCAGAATATTGCAAAACATCTCAGTCATTTTCAGAGTGCAGTGAAGGAGGACCACTAGCTTCTTTTCTGCATCTTTAAAGTCCAGTTCACAGCTTGTTTGTCCATCGCTGGAGGAAGAAACGCGACAAAATCAAAAAGCAAAAGTCCGTTAAGGCTGGAGAAGCTAACGAGAAGCTAACGAGAAGCACGGGGACGTCTGCGGTCACGCGGTCCACGGGGACGTCTGCGGTCACGCGGTCCACGGGGACGTCTGGGGTCACGGGGTCCACGGGGACGTCTGCGGTCACGCGGTCCACGGGGACGTCTGCGGTCAAGTGGTCCACGGGGACGGCTGCGGTCACGCGGTCCACGGGGACGGCTGCGGTCACGTGGTCCACGGGGACGTCTGGGGTCACGCGTTTATGAAAAGGGGTTTTGTGTGTGTTGCTTGATGTGGCGTTGGTCCTATTACTGTGGTAAGACTTGTTTTATTCAGAATTATTTCATCTCAGAGAGAGACCAGTGGGAGAGACCAGAGAGAGAGACTAGAGAGAGACCAGAGAGAGAGAGCAGAGAGAGAGACCAGAGAGAGAACAGAGAGAGAGACCAGAGAGAGAGACCAGAGAGAGAGAGACCAAAGAGAGACCAGAGAGAGACCAGAGAGAGACCAGAGAGAGAGACCAGAGAGAGACCAAAGAGAGACCAGAGAGAGACCAGAGAGAGAGACCAGAGAGAGACCAGAGAGAGACAAGAGAGAGACTATAGAGAGAACAGAGGGAGAGACCAGAGAGAGAGACCAGAGAGAGACCAGAGAGACACTAGAGAGAGACTGCTCAGAGGGTGAAAGGGGTTTTGTGTGTGTTGCTTGATGTGGCGTTGGTCCTATTACTGTGGTAAGACTTTGTTTATTCAGTATTATTTCATCTCAGAGAGAGACCAGAGAGAGAGACCAGTGGGAGAGATTAGAGAGAGAGCAGAGAGAGACCAGAAAGACCAGAGAGAGAGACCAGAGAGAGACCAGTGAAAGACCAGAGGGAGAAATTAGAGAGAGACCAGCAGGAGTCAAGAGAGAGACCAGAGAGAGACACCAGAGAGAGACCAGAGAGAGACCAGAGAGAGACCAGAGAGAGAGGTACCAGAGAGAGACCAGAGAGAGACCAGAGAGCGAGACCAGAGAGAGACCAGAGAGAGACCAGAGAGAGACCAGAGAGAGGTACCAGAGAGAGACCAGAGAGAGACCAGAGAGAGAGACCAGAGAGAGAGACCAGAGAGAGACCAAAGAGAGACCAGAGAGAGAGACCAGAGAGAGACCAGAGAGAGACCAGAGAGAGACCAGAGAGAGGTACCAGAGAGAGACCAGAGAGAGACCAGAGAGAGAGACCAGAGAGAGAGACCAGAGAGAGACCAGAGAGAGAGACCAGAGAGAGAGACCAGAGAGAGGTACCAGAGAGAGACCAGAGAGAGACCAGAGAGAGACCAGAGAGAGAGACCAGAGAGAGACCAGAGAGAGACCAGAGAGAGACCAGAGAGAGACCAGAGAGAGACCAAAGAGAGACCAGAGAGAGACCAGAGAGAGGTACCAGAGAGAGACCAGAGAGAGACCAGAGAGAGACCAGAGAGAGACCAGAGAGAGACCAGAGAGAGGTACCAGAGAGAGACCAGAGAGAGACCAGAGAGAGACCAGAGAGAGAGACCAGAGAGAGACCAGAGAGAGAGACCAGAAAGAGAGACCAGAGAGAGGTACCAGAGAGAGACCAGAGAGAGACCAGAGAGAGACCAGAGAGAGAGACCAGAGAGAGACCAGAGAGAGACCAGAGAGAGACCAGAGAGAGACCAGAGAGAGACCAGAGAGAGACCAGAGAGAGACCAGAGAGAGGTACCAGAGGTAGTAGAATGCCCTACATCTTTCTCCGTTGCAGACAAACGCTGCTCTCTGGTCTCTGCTCTTTACTTCTGCCCGCGTGGACTGTTTTATGGTTAAAAATACACCGTGGACGTCTTCCTTCTCGTTCTAATCACCGCGCGGCGTTTCCTCGACCTCAGCATTTTTAATCGCAATTTATCGTGGCCCTTTTTAGCCAATAACCCTTTAAATATCAGATAAGTGGGTTAGCGCGCTGCCCTACTTTGCGCGCACTCATAAATAAATGTTTAGAGCGAACGAGACACAACCAGCTGGGAGCATTAGGGACCGGGCAGAGACTACGGGGCCACTCCCAGGGCCAATTTGGGGCCGAAACAGAGAATAAATCAGAGAAAGATGAATTATTAACGCAGAGACCACATGCCCATCTCTGCCGGAGGTCCAAGCGGCGCGTGGTTCTCAGACCGATCGATTCTATTAGCGTGTTTCCTGCCGGAGAGTGGAGCGAGGCCAGAGACCAGGACCAGAGAGAGACCGTAGAGAGACCGGAGAGAGACCGGAGAGAGACCGGAGAGAGACTCGAGGGAGAGACTCGAGGAAGAGCAGAGAGAGACCGGAGAGACAGCTCTATCTCTGGTCTCTCTCTAGTCCCTCTGTAGTCTCTTGCTGGTCTCACTCTCTAGTCTTGCTCTGGTCTCTCTCTCTAGTCTCACTCTGGTCTCTCTCTAGTCTCTCTTTGGTCTCTTTCTAGTCCCTTTCTAGTCTCTCTCTAGTCACTTTCTAGTTTCTCTCCGTCTCTCTCTCTGGTCTCTCTCTGGTCTCTCCCTGGTCTCTCTCTGGCCTCTCTGGTCTCTCTCTCTCTGGTCTCTCTAGTCTCTCTCTGGTCTCTCTCTAGTCTCTCTCTCTGGTCTTTCTGGTCTCTCTCTGGTCTCTCTCTAGTCTCTCTCTGGTCTTTCTGGTCTCCCTGGTCTCTCTCTAGTCTCTCTCTGGTCTCTCTCTATTCTCTCTCTGGTCCCTCTCTAGTCTCTCTCTAGTCTCTCTCTAGTCTCTCTCTGGTCTCTCTCTAGTCTCTCTCTCTCAATACATGTGCTTCAGTTGGACTTGTGCCTCAGTTGGACTTGTGTTTCACTGATTACCACAGGCCTCTAGGGTGCATCCATATGGCTCGTGCCACTGCCCATCACTTCACCGCGGTCCGAGAGGCGCTCCGCGATCACGCTAACTCGCTAACTCGCTAACCCACAGAGAAGGCCTCCCCCGGGGCTGCAGCGTCCTGTCTGCTCCCTGCACACGCCGCGTCCGTCCGGTCCAGACCCACGGCCACGATCCTTCAGCTCTAGCTCCGTCCCATCTGGGATCAGACCCAAACCCGAGGGGGAGGGAGGGAGGGAGGGAGGGAGGGAGGGAGGGAGGGGGGGGGGCAAGGCACATCACTGAGGCAGAGAAGCAACAGGAACCATGAGGGACAAGGACCACAACTGTCCACGAGGTAAACCATTGGAGCACAGTAGTCGAACTCACAAACTATTTACAACTGCAAAGAGAGACCAGAGAAAGACCGGAGAGAGACTAGAGAGAGACTAGAGAGAGACTAGAGAGAGATTAGAGAGAGACTAGAGAGAGACTAGAGCTAGAGAGAGACCAGAGAGAGACTAGAGAGAGACCAGAGAGGCCAGAGAGAGACTAGAGAGAGACCAGAGAGAGACTAGAGAGAGACCAGAGAGAGACTAGAGAGAGACCAGAGAGAGACCAGAGACAGACCAGAGAGAGACTAGAGAGAGACCAGAGAGAGACCAGAGAAAGACCAGAGAGAGACTAGAGAGAGCCCAGAGAGAGACCAGAGAAAGACCAGAGAGAGACTAGAGAGGGACCAGAGAGAGACCAGAGAGGGACTAGAGAGGGACCAGAGAGAGACCAGAGAGAGACCAGAGAGAGACCAGAGAGAGACCAGAGAGTGAGAGAGACCAGAGAGACCAGAGAGAGAGAGACCAGAGAGAGAGCAGAGAGAGACCAGAGAGTGAGAGAGACCAGAGAGACCAGAGAGAGACTAGAGAGGGACCAGAGAGAGACTAGAGAGGGACCAGAGAGAGACCAGAGAGAGACCAGAGAGAGACTCTGACTTCTCTGTTCTCGAGGTTCTTTCGATCTTGGACACATCAATGACTCTTGGCCCATGGAAAAGCCATGTTCCAGCTTCTTCCCTCTGGCAGAAGATATCGTTGCAGGACATCTGGATTTGATTACAGCGTCTTTCAGCTCTTATCAGTCGGAACAGAGCACTTTAATGAGCTCTCTGCATCTCTCTCTCTCTCTCTCTCCCTGGTCTTTCTCTTTTCGCTCTCTCCTTTCACCTCTCATCAACTCCCTCACCTAACAGCCTGACGATCACCCCCCCCCCTCTTCCTCCCCCCCTCCCCCTTCTCCTCCCTCTTACCTGAGCCCTGACGATGATCCTCTCTGTCGGTTACATCCTGCTCCGGGCTGCGGCTGTAAATCACCTGCTGAGGTTAAACTCTTGCCCTCGAGCAAAACACTGATCCACGGAGAAGTCACACCTGTGTGCTCTGTCACAGACCTGGAGCTGTGTTCTGCTCCAGCCAGGCTCCTGTCATCGACCACACACTCTGACTGAGGCTGTAGACCCAGGACTGAGGCTGTAGACCCAGGACTGAGGCTGTAGATCCAGGACTGAGGCTGTAGACCCAGGACTGAGGCTGTGGATCCAGGACTGAGGCTGTAGATCCAGGACTGAGGCTGTAGATCCAGGACTGAGGCTGTAGACCCAGGACTGAGGCTGTAGATCCAGGACTGAGGCTGTAGACCCAGGACTGAGGCTGTAGACCCAGGACTGAGGCTGTAGATCCTGGACTGAGGCTGTAGATCCAGGACTGAGGCTGTAGACCCAGGACTGAGGCTGTAGAGCCAGGACTGAGGCTGTGGATCTAGGACTGAGGCTGTAGACCCAGGACTGAGGCTGTAGACCCAGGACTGAGGCTGTAGACCCAGGACTGAGGCTGTAGACCCAGGACTGAGGCTGTAGATCCAGGACTCAGGCTGTAGACCCAGGACTGAGGCTGTAGACCCAGGACCATGATCTCGCCTCAGATCTCGCTGACGAACACAGAACTCTCATCGTCTCTATTCTCCAATTACAGACACGTGAGGTTCTCCTTTTGATCCTCTAAGTGTGTGATGTTCTGCTCCTCTGGTCCGGGCTCAGGGCGGAGGCGGAACACAGACCCCCCACAGAGACCTGAGGCCGCACCATCAGCAGCGACACTGATGGTGCCGCTGAGTCCAAGGCCAGAGAGAGCAGCGCGTTCACTAATGAGACACAAAAGAGAATTTACGTTTCATTTTAACATTACCAGGAGCACGAGAGAGAGACCAGAGAGAGAGACCAGAGAGACCAGAGAGGGACCAGAGAGACCAGAGAGAGACCAGAGAGACCAGAGAGAGACCAGAGAGAGACCAGAGAGAGACCAGAGAGAGACCAGAGAGAGAGACCAGAGAGACCAGAGAGAGACCAGAGAGAGACCAAAGAGAGAGACCAGAGAGAGACCAGAGAGAGACCAGAGAGAGACCAGAGAGAGACCAGAGAGAGAGACCAGAGAGACCAGAGAGGGACCAGAGAGACCAGAGAGAGACCAGAGAGACCAGAGAGAGACCAGAGAGAGACCAGAGAGAGACCAGAGAGAGACCAGAGAGAGAGACCAGAGAGACCAGAGAGAGACCAGAGAGAGACCAAAGAGAGAGACCAGAGAGAGACCAGAGAGACCAGAGGGAGACCAGAGAGAGCAGCGCGTTCACTAATGAGACACAAAAGAGAATTTACGTTTCATTTTAACATTATCAGGAGCACGAGAGAGAGACCAGAGAGACCAGAGAGAGACCAGAGAGAGACCAGAGAGAGACCAGAGAGAGACCATAGAGAGACCAGAGAGAGACCAGAGAGAGAGACCAGAGAGGGAGACCAGAGAGACCAGAGAGAGACCAGAGAGAGACCAAAGAGAGAGACCAGAGAGGGAGACCAGAGAGACCAGAGAGAGACCAGAGAGAGACCAGAGAGAGACCATAGAGAGACCAGAGAGAGAGACCAGAGAGAGACCAGAGAGGGACCAGAGAGAGAGACCTGAGAGAGACCAGAGAGAGACCAGAGAGACCAGAGAGGGACCAGAGAGAGACCTGAGAGAGACCAGAGAGAGACCAGAGAGAGACCATAGAGAGACCAGAGAGAGACCAGAGAGAGAGACCAGAGAGGGAGACCAGAGAGACCAGAGAGAGACCAGAGAGAGACCAGAGAGAGACCATAGAGAGACCAGAGAGAGAGACCAGAGAGAGACCAGAGAGAGACCAGAGAGAGAGACCAGAGAGAGACCAGAGAGAGAGACCAAAGAGAGACCAGAGAGAGACCAGAGAGAGAGACCAGAGAGAGACTGGAGAGAGACCAGAGAGAGACCAGAGAGAGCGACCAGAGAGGGACCAGAGAGAGACCAGAGAGAGCGACCAGAGAGGGACCAGAGAGGGACCAGTCCTGGTGATCCTATCCTTTAGGTCCTGATACAGCCTCAGTCCTGCTCCGGCCTCAGTCCTGGTCCAGCATCAGTCCTGGTCCGGCCTCAGTCCCGGTCCAGCCTCAGTCCTGGTCCAGCCTCAGTCCTGGTCTGGCCTCAGAGTCTGTAAATGCAGAGTGACGTGTGGCTCTCTGTGAGATGTGGTCAGGGCTGATGCAGAACGACAGCTGCAGCTCCAGGAACTACACTGTTCCAATCTCCCCCAGAACCAGACTCTAACCAGTCCTCAACCAGACTCTAACCAGTCCTCAACTAGTCCTCAACCAGACTCTAACCAGTCCTCAACCAGACTCTAACCATTCCTCAACTAGTCCTCAACCAGACTCTAAACAGTCCTCAACCATACTTTAACCAGAGTCTAACCAGTCCTCAACCAGACTCTAACCAGTCCTCAACTAGTCCTCAACCAGACTCTAACCAGTCCTCAACTAGTCCTCAACCAGACTCTAAACAGTCCTCAACCATACTTTAACCAGACTCTAACCAGTCCTCAACCAGACTCTAACCAGTCCTCAACTAGACTCTAACCAGTCCTTAACTAAACTCTAACCAGTCCTCAACCAGACTCTAACCAGTCCTCAACCAGACTCTAACCAGTCCTCAACCAGACTCTAACTAGTCCTCAACCAGACTCTAACCAGTCCTCAACTAGACTCCAACCAGTCCTTAACTAGACTCTAACCAGTCCTCAACGAGACTCTAACCAGTCCTCAACCAGACTCTAACCAGTCCTCAACTAGACTAACCAGTCCTTAACTAGACTCTAACCAGTCCTCAACCAGACTCTAACCAGTCCTCAACCAGACTCTAACCAGTCCTCAACCAGACTCTAACCAGTCCTCAAACAGGCTCTAACTAGTCCTCAACTAGATTAACCAGTCCTCAACTAGACTCTAACTAGTCCTTAACTAGACTCTAACCAGTCCTCAACCAGACTCTAAACAGTCCTTAACCAGACTCTAACTAGTCCTCAACCAGACTCTAACCAGTCCTCAACTAGACTCTAACCAGTCCTTAACTAGACTCTAACCAGTCCTCAACCAGACTCTAACCAGTCCTCAACCAGACTCTAACCAGTCCTCTACTAGACTCTAACCAGTCCTTAACTAGACTCTAACCAGTCCTCAACTAGACTCTAACCAGTCCTCAACCAGACTCTAACCAGTCCTTAACTAGACTCTAACCAGTCCTCAACCAGACTCTAACTAGTCCTCAACTAGACTCTAACCAGTCCTTAACTAGACTTTAACCAGTCCTCAACCAGACTCTAACTAGTCCTCAACTAGACTAACCAGTCCTTAACTAGACTCTAACCAGTCCTCAACCAGACTCTAACCAGTCCTCAACCAGACTCTAACCAGTCCTCAACCAGACTCTAACCAGTCCTCAACCAGGCTCTAACTAGTCCTCAACTAGACTAACCAGTCCTCAACTAGACTCTAACTAGTCCTTAACTAGACTCTAACCAGTCCTCAACCAGACTCTAGAGTCTGAGAGAGAGAACCAGAGAGAGAGACCAGAGATAAGAACCAGAGAGACCAGAGAGAGAACCAGAGAGAGAGACCAGAGATAAAGAACCAGAGAGACCAGAGAGAGAACCAGAGAGAGAGACCAGAGATAAGAACCAGAGAGACCAGAGAGAGAACCAGAGAGACTAGAGAAAGAGAAGCCAGAGAGAGACTAGGGAGAGAAACCTGAGAGAATAATGCTTTCTGCCTGTAACTCCCTCTGTTGCCACCAGAGGGGGCTGCAAACACAGACATGGGATTATAAAGAAGGTTAAGAATGGTCTCTCTCGCTCTCTCTTGTCTCTCCGTAGTCTCTCTCTCTGGTCTCTCTTTCTCTCTCTCTGTAGTCTCTCTCTGGTCTCTCTCTGGTCTTTCTCTCTGGTCTTTCTCGCTGGTCTCTTGCTGGTCTCTCTCTCTGGTCCCTCTGCAGTCTTACTCTCTGGTCTCTCTCTCTAGTCTTTCTCTCTGGTCTCTCTCTGGTCTCTCTCGCTAGTCTCACTCTCTGGTCTCTCTCTGGTCTCTCTTTCTGGCCTCTCTCTCTGGTTTCCTTCCTGCTGAGGTTTGAGAGGGTTAACACATGTACAGTAAGTGGGGTCTCTCCTCTGGTAGCACCATGTGGGACAGATTTGTGGTGTTTGTGTTGGGACCAGTTGACAGTGGAAACATTCAGACTTTTTCACATGAAACCAGTGAGTTTGAAACGAAAACATTCAAAAAGTGGAACGAAAACTTCTCCTGTTGAGTGAACTTTAAACACAGTGATGACAGATTCATGGTTATTCCAGTCAGAGAGACACCAGATGTGTCGGCCAGAGAGAGACCAGAGAGGGACCAGAGAGGGACCAGAGCAGTGGCGGCCGGCCAATAGAGGGCGCTAGGGCGCCGCCCCACCACTCACAACTTGCCATGTTACCTTGAATAAAACGTTAAAAAAAATAATAACATTAAAATATTTCGAAATGTATGTGTGTTTTATTTCAGATGTGGAAGAAATACTTTATAGTTTATGCTGAGTTGGATTGATTAAGCTCATCAGCGTTGTCTGTGTCGGACTGAGGACGTATTTCCGCCTCAGGGCGCAAAAGATTGCGCCCTGAGGCGTCTATGGACTCTCGTTAAAAGTTGTACATGCGCAGTAGCTCCTCTTCAATGCAAGAGATAAGACGATTTGGGGGCGCAGGAGAAGTGCGCCCTGAGGGGGCGGGATCGCCCGCGACCTGTACTGTCACTGTCTGTGACGTCCGTTTACAGGGATTGACAGGTCAAGCTGTGGGAGTTTGAGACGAACGTAAAGAGACGCAAAATGGAGAACGAGAAAAAGAATAATTCAGTTAGATCACTCAAAACAATACCGTTTGAGAGAAGATCATACCAGGAGAAGGTTGAGGTTAAAGAGCTTGGACCTGATCAGCCAAATATTACCATTAGTCAGCAGTCCAGGACCTGGTTCAGCGCCAAATCTTGGCTAGCAGCATGTAGCGAGGCTAATGCTTTATTTTGCTTTCCATGCCTCTTGTTCCAAACATCAGGATCTGACCCAGCATGGATCAAGACAGGTATGACTGATCTGAAGCACTTTTTAGAAAAGGCAAAGAAGCATGAGCAGACTGGTATCCACATGCAAAATGCCCTCAAATTAGCTATGTTTGGGAAGATAAATATTTCATTCTCGTGTGAGGCTTCAGTCACAACAGTCAGTGTAAACTTACTTACTGCTGGTATATATCTAGTCATCATATTCATAGCCCCCCCAGTAGAAAATTCCACCAGCCGCCACTGGACCAGAGAGGGACCAGAGAGAGACCAGAGAGAGACCAGAGAGAGACCAGAGAGAGACCAGAGAGGGACCAGAGAGAGACCAGAGAGGGACCAGAGAGAGACCAGAGAGGGACCCGAGAGAGACTAGAGAGGGACCAGAGACCAGAGAGAGAGACCAGAGAGAGACCAGAGAGACCAGAGAGAGACCAGAGAGAGACCAGAGAGACCAGAGAGAGACCAGAGAGAGACCAGAGAGACCAGAGAGAGACCAGAGAGACCAGAGAGAGAGACCAGAGAGAGAGACCAGAGAGAGAGACCAGAGAGAGAGAGACCAGAGAGAGAGAGACCAGAGAGAGACCAGAGAGTGACCAGAGAGGGACCAGAGAGGGACCAGAGAGAGACCAGAGAGGGACCAGAGAGAGAGACCAGAGAGAGACCAGACAGAGACCAGAGAGGGACCAGAGAAAGAGACCAGAGAGAGACCAGAGAGAGAGACCAGAGAGAGACCAGAGAGGGACCAGAGAGAGACCAGAGAGGGACCAGAGAGAGACCAGAGAGGGACCAGAGAGAGAGACCAGAGAGAGACCAGACAGAGAGACCAGAGAGGGACCAGAGAAAGAGACCAGAGAGGGACCAGAGAGAGACCAGAGAGGGACCAGAGAGAGACCAGAGAGGGACCAGAGAGACCAGAGAGGGACCAGAGAGAGAGACCAGAGAGAGACCAGAGAGAGACCAGAGAGGGACCAGAGAGGGACCAGAGAGGGACCAGAGAGGGACCAGAGAGGGACCAGAGAGGGACCAGAGAGGGACCAGAGATAGACCAGAGAGAGACCAGAGAGAGTCCAGAGAGGGACCAGAGAGAGACTAGAGAGGGACCAGAGAGAGCCCAGTACAGAGAGACTTGAGTGAGAGACCAGAGGGTCATAGATTCCTGGTCTTAGTGAGGAGCAAAGCTGCCACATGGTTGATTTGTCGTTTATGAATTGTATTAAATCCTGTGAACTTATATTTAGAAGCAGGTCCTGACCCAGAGTCCTGAGGTGACAGACACATAATCCCACTCCATCTAATCTCACATCAGATTAGCACTCTCTCTCCCCCTATGGTCCGGCTGCTGCCTCGCTCGCCCCCACTCCTCCTGGAAGGAAGAAGCAGTTGTGTCGAGTCGGGACAGCTGCGGGAAAGGGCTGCGTGTTCGTTAGACTCGTGTCGCATTTACATCACAGAGAAGACAGGAATGTATCAAAGTAAAGGGTCATTGTCTAAAAAAGAGAGAACAGAGAGAGAGAGACTTGGGAGAGACCAGAGAGAGAGACCAGAGAAGAACCAGAGAGAGAGAGACCAGAGAGAGAGACCAGAGAGAGACCAGAGAGAGAGACCAGAGAGAGACCAGAGAGAGAGAGACCAGAGAGAGAGACCAGAGAGAGACCAGAGAGAGAGACCAGAGAGAGAGACCAGAGAGAGAGGCCAGAGAGAGGCCAGAGAGAGAGACCAGAGAGAGAGACCAGAGAGAGAGGCCAGAGAGAGGCCAGAGAGAGAGGCCAGAGAGAGAGACCAGAGAGAGAGACCAGAGAGAGAGACCAGAGAGAGAGGCCAGAGAGAGGCCAGAGAGAGACCAGAGAGAGACCAGAGAGACCAGAGAGAGAGACCAGAGAGAGACCAGAGAGAGACCAGAGAGAGACCAGAGAGAGACCAGAGAGAGAGACCAGAGACACCAGAGAGAGACCAGAGAGAGGCCAGAGAGAGACCAGAGAGTGACCAGAGAGAGACCAGAGAGTGACCAGAGAGAGACCAGAGAGTGACCAGAGAGAGACCAGAGAGACCAGAGAGTGACCAGAGAGAGACCAGAGAGAGACCAGAGAGACCAGAGAGACCAGAGAGACCAGAGAGAGACCAGAGAGAGACCAGAGAGAGACCAGAGAGAGACCAGAGAGAGACCAGAGAGAAACCAGAGAGTGACCAGAGAGAGACCAGAGAGAGACCAGAGAGAGACCAGAGAGAGACCAGAGAGAGACCAGAGAGAGACCAGAGAGA